CTTAAATTTTTAGTGTTTTAGTGTATAAAGTTATATATTTCAGCAGATCTTGGATTGCGAAAAAATATTGTTCATAGCATAATTCAAATAGCTACAGAAAAAAATAATAAAAAGAAATGTGACTGTATACATGTATTTCATAAAAAAAATGAGCGGAACATGCACCAAATAATCGCTTATCCAACAAGTATTGTGAGGGGAATTCTTTTTTTCGGAATGATTGATTCTGATTTTTGAACAAGATTCATGTGTGTTGGAAAGAAAAGGAGACATAGTCTGTTAAAACTTTATTCGAGAAATTACCATTAGTTTCTGGAAACAATATTATTTTAAAGGTTTTAATCTTTTTTAAAAAATCTTTCATTTTAAAAACCATTACTGGATATAAATGTTACAGATTTCACATTTCTAAAGAAAATTCATTCGTTTCTGCGCCATACTGTGCCTTTTGTTAAAGCAAATACTGTCATATTTGGTTGCAAACTGTTTACAACAATACTACATCATTAATATTTATTATATACGTTTGTTATCGACACAGCAACGAGTAAATCTAAATCAAAGACTAAATCAGAACCTTATGATAAAGATAAAACTGTCGAACAAAAACATGATGACACCAATAGAAAGACGATTCTAATAAATCCCGATGAAGGCGACCCACTAACAGCAGATCCAAAGGGTCAAGGTCTACATAAACATACAAATGGTTTTAAGTCTAAGTCAGCACCGCCTGAGGGTGATAATGCATTTAACAGAATTCAAACCGAAGAGAAAAACGATGCTACAAAGACTAAAGAAAAACAAAAATTAAACGATGATAAAAAGTTCAAAGAAAACAGTTTGAGAAACATGGAAAATAGATCTGAACTTTTTAACAACCGAAACAACACTGGAGAAGGAAATAAAGGAATTAGAAAAAGGTAATAATTGATATATTTTCCCATTTCGTGTACATTATCAAAGTAACAACTTGCAGTTATTAAAATATATAAATGAGTATTAATCAATTTAAAACGTAATTAACAGATTGCCTGTTAGCTTAAGTTCTAAATTCAGATTCAGATTTCATCTTTTTGCTACAAATGTACGTTACTTAATTTGTATTTGATGAAATTGTTTTTATCACTTTTTTTATCAATTGCAGCAATGTTCCGTTAAAGAAACCAAACTTCATGGTACCCAAACAGTCAGGTATTATATTTATCTTATATCTAAATCGTTATTCTGGAAATCATACTTATTAATGTGGCATTAACAATGGGACTAAAGTTATGATATACTTATTACTTAAACACGAAGTGTTATTTAGAGCTGATTTTAATTAGATTGGTGGCATTCATTTAAACAAACTTTTGTAATTGAAACCAGTCAAGTATACACGAAAGTCCGGTGGGGACATTTCAACTTCATGAATTCCAGGTTTCATCTTCATGAACCCCCGATTTCAACTTTACGAATTCACGATTTCAGGTTCATGAATTCTCAATTTTGACTTCATGAACTTGAAATCGTGAATTCGTGAAGTTGAAATCGTGAAGTTGAAATCGTGAATTCACGAAGTTAAATTCATGAAGTTGAAGCCGTGAATTGGTGAAGTTGAAATCGTGAATTCACGAAGTTGAATTAGTGAAGTTGAAATCGTGAATTCATGAAGTTAAAATTATGAATTCGTGAAGTTAAAATCGTAAATTCATGAACTTGAAATCGGAAATTCATTTTGCTGAAATCGTGAATTCCGTATGTTGAAAACGGGATTTAAGGGATTTAAAATTGTGAATTCATGACGTTGAAATCGGGACTTCATGAAGTTGAATTGGCCTTACCGGTCTTATGCAAGTATAAGTAAAGTATGGAGGTATTCCATTTAAGTGACGCCTCCTTCTTCTGATAGTTTCTACATACTTTTATATTTTATGTATTTACGATGTGTATAAGGTTCATTTTTGCTCAGATTTTTAATATGTAAATTAATTATTGTTTGTGAAGTTATAGTTTTTTGTGTGTATGATGTACTTGAGCAATGCTTTAGTATAACAAAAAAAAGACTGGTTCGAAAAAACAGATAATAACAGTCATGCTTCATGGCTTTTTTTAGAATAGCCGACATTTTTTAAAGGTTTTCTTTTCATTAAACTATAGTCGAGACAATAAGTTATGATACATTTTGTCATCTACATTTTCTTCTAGTTTATGTCTTAGGCAAGCAATTTGGCATACATCGTTTTCTAGTAGATTTCGATCCTACTTTATTTTTTTTCCTTCTTTTTTCTAACTTAATTTTATTGTTTTTTATCTTAACATTAATATAACAAAAACCTAACATTTTAGTGATCATTCAAAATCATCTAGTGTCATATAATATTTTAGTGCGGCTGATAAAACAAGAAAAGGGGCTAGTTTTTGATAGTGAGAGACACTGGCGATCAATGGCCCAACATGAACTTGATACTTGTAAGTGTAAGTTTGGTGTAATAGTTTGGTGGTGGTGGTGGTGGTAGTTTTCACTACAGAACACGGCAGTAAGCCACATTGAATTTACCAGAACACAGTCTAGCAATCGCAGAGTTACTGGACATGCTGTCAAACAGTTTACCAGTACTAGTTGCCTTCACTTTCGCAAGGAACTGTAACTTTTGTACATGCCAGAGCACAGGTTCACTGCGAATGACTGTAGAAAGGATTTAATGATCAATCACAATGAAAGTGAGCAGCGCCGTCCTGGAATCTGACCCGGATCGCCCAATTCACAGTCCAAAGCTCTACCTATTGAGCTAACCGGACGGCTAATATTTTGATGTGATTTAGTATTGATTTAAATTAATAATGATGATAACCATGGCATACATGTATATTAAAGGAACTCCACTGAGGTCCAAACGCCAAAAACACAAAATTTGTATTTTATGTTATATTTTGCACCCGAATTGGGTCAATCTCGGGTCAATTTCCGCACTTTGAATAATTGTTCTGGAAAAATGAAGTGTGCGAATGATCACAAGTTATTGGTCTAGACATACATCAAATGTAATATTAATCTCAAAAAAAAATTATTTCCAGTTTCGTCGTGTAAAAAACAACACAGTGGAGTCCCTTAATATATTTGTATCGGTTATGTGATTCTCATAATTTGTTTGTTTATTAAAACAACTAAAACTCCTTAGTATCATAATAAAACTATTAATATCAGCAAAGACCTGGCCATGTATTAATAATAGATTGTTTAAGTATATATACACACATATGTACAATTTATATAAAACTGTTTACGTACATATAATTAGTACAGTTTGTTTAGGTACATGCGAATACTGTCTGTTAACGAACATATGATATTTCAGTTTGCTTACATTGAAATGGTTACAATTTGTTTATATATATAAAATTACAGTTTGTTTACGTACATATGATAACAATTCAATTTCGTTCATATGATTCAAGTTTGTTTACGTTTATATGATTACAGTTTGTTTACGTTCATATGATTACAGTTTGTTTACGTTCATATGATTACAGTATGTTTACGTTCATATGATTACATTTTGTTTACGTTCATATGACTACAACTGGTTTAATATATTTATGTTCATATGACAACAGTTTGTCAACGTTCATACATGTATAAACTGCCTCCGTGGTCGAGGGGTTAGAGTCGATGACTTCTAATCCAGTTACCTCTCTGGCGTGGGTTCGAATCCCCGGGAGATGCTTTTGGTAGTTTAGCACGGAGGAAGGTAAGTCTAGTACTGGTGTAACTGTCCAGGAAACAATGGTTTAGGAGACTACCCGCCTATATGACTGAAATACTGTTGGAAAAGGCGTTAAAATGAAACAAAAAACAAAATCAACGTTCATAAAGATTTGGTTTACGTTTATAGGATTTGAAATTCGTTCACGGGCATATGAAATTACAGTTTTGTTTTCAGACACAATGATAACCAGTTTCTGTACGAACATATAGTTACAGTTTATTCACACACATTTAATTAAAATCGTTCAACAAGACTACATTTTGTTGACACACATGCCATATTTTCCCAATAGTTTCATTTCAATAAAATACGATTTGAGTTGGGTTACTTAACCACGATTGAAATTTGTTGGTGAATTAATTTTCAGATCGTAACCGGTATTTGCTTCTTGAAGATGTTCATTCGGTTATTTGCCTGGACATATCTGAAAGTATGGCCGACTCAGATGGATGGACTGATGCTCGAACCTTCATAACCGACTATTTGACAGGTGATTCTAATAATGTAACGGAAGTAGCAACGTTAGCTAAACATCGCAAATATGTCATGCCCACGCTTTCGTTACATATATTAGTAGGAATTGACATGATAGCTAAAGCTTTTAAACGCTAAAGTATGCACTTATACGAGTTTATCAATATTTGGATGAGTTAATATTTGGATGCGTTTAGTTTAATTTACAGCATCCTATTAATCGTACACATGGTACATTATGTGCGTACGTATGCTATTAAACGAAATATCAGTAATAGTGCTATATATTGTGTTAGATACCAGAATTCTTCATTTGAAAACCTGGCTCGTGAAACACGTCTGTGGTGCGTATTAATTAATTTATTTAATCTAATCATAGTATTGAAGATTGATTTTATATATTTCCTTTATATATAAGGAGAAATAGATGAAAGAAAATGTTTTACTGTATAATTTTACATCATGTCAGGTCTTAAAGATATGTCAAAGTCCTATTCAAGAGATCTATACACCGAACATGTAGCTTTGGTAACATTCGGGCACCAGACGAAAATTCAAGTTGGATACACAGCTGATTACAGAGACATCGAGAAAGAACTTGGTATAGTGGCTTATTGTTACCTCAATTTTCCAGTAATTTAAAGGCCTATAATGCACCAGAAATGCTGTTATTTCTATTCCTCAAAAAAACTTTTATTTTTTGGTGTCCTATTTATAGTTTTCAACAAATGTAGTCATAGGCCAGTTACTGAACTATCATCTGCTTTTGTTGCTTTTTTGACAATTAGTACTATTAGTTACTATTACTATTACTAGTGATTAAGTATTTCGTATGGAAGTCAAAATACTACTCTGTTTACATTTTGCTACTTTTATAACAAATAATTTCACTTTCAGTGATACTTTGTGCACGTGAAATGCATCTAACATGTTCTAAATCCGTTGTTAAACATTATAAAACTCGTGTTTACCTTTCTAAAGAATGAAAAAATTATTCCTTTCTGAGGCATAATGGGCCTTTAAGTATATGATTGGTAGCCTTATAAGACATCATTTAGGTATACACTTTCACTATTGTAGCAGAGCTTTGTGTTTTAGGACTTACATTTAAATTGTATACATTGAATAAATATTTTTGTCTAAATGTTTACAGTTATGTTTGTTTGATCGTGTTTTCAATGAAACTCAGGGTTCAAGAAATTTTAAATGAATAGATTTATGTCTTTTTCATCTTTATTAAATTGTTATTTACATAATTATGATATATAGAGGATATAATAAAGATGTTGGATTATTTGTCGGTGTACAAAAAAGCAGGACTTTGACCGTATTTGTTTGTTAAAAAAAAGTATAAATTTACCTTAAATTAAACAAAACATTTAAATCTAATTTTAATTTTAGATGACACAAAGCTCGGAGGGCCGACACAGATGTATGGTGGATGCCTAATCGCACTGGCAGCGGCGTGGTGTAGTAGACGTAAGAAAAAAAGTTGTTAATATTTCGATTCGAAAAGCGGTGTTGATACAATTATCAATGTTTTCATATATGGTACTATTCAATATTTCACGAATGTTTGGAATTTGGTATCTGTTGATTATTATATGTAAGAAACATTGTTGCCACAGGAAATCTTACAGTCAAACCTGACGAAGAGAATATCTGCCTATAGCAGTCTCAGTATGGAATACAGACGTATTAAACAGTTCTGCTTCAGTCGGTGCTAGGGGGGATGTATGGACGGTAGCTTGCATATTCCAACATCGTCCATGAAGTACTTTCAATTTTGCTGTGCTGGTTGACCTTTTTAATTTTGCATTAAATATGTGATTTAGCAAAGAGAGTGCACCAATATAATATACTTTATTTTCTGGCAGAAGATCCACAGAAGTACCGGTATTAATAAAAAGTTATCATTCGAGAGTTAACTTTCAATTTCACATTTTGCAGACCAGATACAACGCCTGGATAATTGTTCTAAAATATTTACGAAGATTATATTTGTCACGGATGGCCGACCAACAGAAGACGATTTGATTGCTGGACCGGATATTGCAGATTCGAGCAAAATTGATGACGTAAATATTATAATGATTATAATTGTCTCTATATATGTATGGTTTGGTATCAGGTTAGTAGGCCTTAGTGCGACTGGTTAAATTAAAGAACAGGCAATTTAAAAATACACATGTCCTTTTAAATCTGCACCCGGCGGCTTTTTTATCCGATTTTTGTGTCATACGCTCTTCTTTCCGAATACAAACGCACTATGCGTGGTAACTTGTTTGATAAGCAAGAAAATTGTCTACCGTATAAAAACTCTTTCAATAACTGTTCTTTTAATATTATTAAATACTATCTGAGAAAAAATAATGCTATCATGGTTTGTTCATTTGATTTTTTTAGACGAAAGCAAAGATATTACAAGAAATGGAAAGACTAAGGAAAGCCCATATGGATTTGTTTTTTGTACCAGTTGGTAATTCAGATATGGTACGTATCAGCCTCTGTCATTTTACTTTCCTTTGGCCAGTATTACATAACAGTTGTACAAAGTTGTCACATACTTCATCTCTGGGTCGCTGCCTAGTTGCCTGGTGTTGTTATTAGATTAAAATATATTTTATTGCCGAAAAAGACATATACATACATGTAAACAGTTACAATACAATGACATGACATATTTGGCAAAAGGGTTGACACACAAAGTCTCTTAATTATTAGCAACGGGTCTTCCTTAAGTCTTGTTATGTGTATTTCTATGTTGAATGAGGGTCCAACAGTCCTGTAAGGCAAAAAAAGCAGCTACCCTGTAGGGGAAGAAGTTTCACCCGCTAAGCTATAAATCTTTTGCCGATGTCCTTTGCTTTCTCAACAACGTGCACGTACCGAGGGGAAGAGAGAAAGTGTTCAGTCTTTCGGGACTTTTAACGATTAAAAATATGGGTTGAACCGTTGAAAGGGACATTAGAGATTTTGCAACTGATCCATAACAATTATCAGCAAACCCAAACTAGCCGAGTCTGCAATTTTACTGTAAATTTTATGTTTTCATTTCTTTCCCGGGGGATATCCCTTTCCAGTTGTATCATTTAATAGAATTGATTGTGTTTTGATATTCCCCGTCAGATGCTTATGTGAGAACAAATGACGTCAAATATCACAATCGTTTGACTTTAAGGTCCTAATGTTCTTATCATAGGAAGACAAAAAAATGCTATAAAACTCTTGATTGAATTGATGAAAAGTCCAGACACTAAATATTTATGATATTTGTGAAATTTAGGATTTTCACAAGACAATGGCGGCAATTTCAGACGGTACGGTACTCGACTGCAGACAAGGAAGAAGGTTGGCGAGGAGACAATATTTAACTGTATGTATGTTTAAAGATATTTGATGAATATTGTGTCACATGTAGTGGTGACCAATAATGCAAAAAATGTCATGATTGCTAACATCTGACTATGAAAATCATACTTTTCAATGGTCACCAGTAGCTTTCATAAACTTTTAAGTGTTGAAAAGTGAGTGGTTCAAGCCGGTGCTAGAGGGCATGAGGAATGTTGCACTTTTTCATTACCCATCATGTACAGACTCAAGCAAACCATTTTCATGTTTTTTTTTTCGTGATTAATGCTTCCCAGGGATTACATGTTGTTCAGATTTCAATCACCACTATCGTCAATGCCCATTAATACTAAACCTGCAACATTTTTAATTTAGCAGTGTTGCTCGACCTCAAGGGAAACAATGTTTTAATGTTGTACGGGCAGCGTTCCTTATATAGCGCTTTCCCTTGTTACTCTTTTACTTATATATTATTATTTTCATTTTCTGATCAGTATTCATAATTGATTTTTAAAACGTATTTAAAGATCATTTTTGTCGTGACTCAATTATTTTTAAATTTCAGACACGCTTGCTAGACCCGCTAGGCATTTTTGCTGGCACGCAGACACGTGGTTCTGATTATGACCTTTCCAGCGAAGACAAGGTAATTATCACTACAACAGACACCCACTCTGTTGGAACCGTTTAGATACTTTGCCAAAATATCAAAATATAGATTCTTTGCTGTTATTGTTTGCACATTAATGTTTATTATATGATACTTCTTGATGTTCATGTAATGTCCAATCTTACTGGCGTTCCAGTAATGCAAACATTATATTCGGCATTTGAATATTCGATCTAATATTGGTAAAGGCCGTCACCTTTACGAAGATCCTTTTGAAATTCAATGTACTACGGCCAATCCCATTAAGAATGTCTAAATCTTTAACACGTTTTATATGGTAGGACATATGACGACTACCATCTGTAAAGCTATTTTTTAAAGCTGCATGCCATAAGATGAGCCAAAATAATTCAAGAAAATCAAACTTGAGAAAAATGTTCCAATGTTTAATAAAAGTGAAAAGGATTCAAGATTAATAACTGAAGTTGCAGTATGCATTTTCTTATTTCTACTCCCGACAGGGACTTTGGATTCTTTCATGTGAAAAAGCTATCCAGCTAGCTTACGTCGGTGGTTCCACTCAGGTGCCCGTTCGTGCCTGAAAAAATGCACGAAGGGGCACCTGAGGTCTTCCTCCACCAGTAAACCTGGAACGTCGCCAAATGACCTATCCTGTGTCGGTGTGACGTAAAAACCCAAATCAAATTCAAACATATTTCTACTGCTTAACTGTCCCTCTTTTGGTTGATTGCAAAGGCAGCTACCAATGTATAAATTATTGTCTTTGTTCCCTTCACATTATTTTACTTTTAAATGATTTTTCATGAAAATTTGCATAGATCCATAGGCATGCTTGGTCTTTTGGTGCGTATTTCAAATATTGATGAAAACAATGAAATGTATCATCAGGATACTCTTGATTGTTCTTGAAAAGAAATGTCGATAGTTATAAATGCTATAGATATGGTTTAGAGATCGTGAACCTCACATTTACTAATAACAACCATACGCTAATTTTTAGTGGTTTGTTGCCATGAATGATACAAGATCTGTAGTTTCTGGCATATTTTGGCTCTTTGACAGCAATAAGAAGTAATTAAAACCTAACTTGACTTGTCCAATAAATGTTTGATACATTTGATGCTTACTTGACAACGTTTCTATAGACATTGTTATTGAGAATATATAAAAAAAAAGAATATGACAATAAGGGTTTATAGAAGACATCACGACAAATTGTTTTTCCGCCGATGATAAACGAATTCTTATGAATCGGTAAATATTGATTTATGTCGGGCGATATCGTAATAAAAACGCCGGAGATACTTTCGCCCGCTGTCTGCAGGTCTATTTTTAGTGGCGTGAAAGGGTGTTTTCTACTGTGACATCAGAATTTGAGGATACCAATATGGCGGATCGTTTACGTGTTAAAAGAAACTATAACAAGTATTAGCCTTTCCAAAAATGATATTACTATAGCCGTTCAGTAGAGTATTCGGAAATCATTCCATCACATAGACTTATTCCTGAACAATACAGAAAATACTTCTTAATGTATGAAAAATACTCCGAATACGCTTTACCCAACAGGAGCCTACACACTGGTTTCGAGCTCCGTATATGAAGATAGTATTACAATTCAATACACAGGCAACCCGTCAAAAACATGGCAGATAGCGTGTCCCGTAGGCGGCCATTTTTGAGATCTTTTGTCGTCCATTTTTAATCATTTGATATTAAATTCTCCATTCTGATTGGCTAATAATAGGCGGGGTACCGGTAGAAATGGTCAAATTGTGTTAATTTGTATATGTCGCCACAAAAGTATGCAAGAATGTAAAAGGCTTTAGTAAAACAATTATATATTCATTTCCTTTAGGAAGATCTGATGAATATACAGCAAAGTGCCAAACGACATTATGATGCAAATGTAAGAATATCAAACAGCCCCGACAGAGATGCTTATCATGAATCCAAAAGCAAGACATTGCCTCCGATTGGCAGCCGAGTGCGGAAGGGTCCGGACTGGCATCCTAGACAGCAAGATAGCAATGGCCCTGGAACGGTCATAGGGCATGTTGATAACGGTAAGTCAAACAGATCAGTTCAACATTGTTCTGAAGGAACTGAAAATACTTTTTTTCGAGGTTTAATATTCGATTTGATGTAGGTCTAGACCAAAAGCGTGTGTGCAAAATTTCAGATCATTTGCTCACTCTATTTCTCCAAAATAATTATTCTAATTGTGCCAAATTTGAAAAGCGTTGGAAGGGTTTTCACTCAGCCGGGCTAGGAAACGGTACACAAATACGATTTTCAATTCATTTTTGAGTATATTTTTTAATTACCGGTATCATTTATATATGTTTCTGTTTTCCAGTTGATCTATGTAAGAAATTCAAATTATATGTTTTTAGACTTTTTGACGAAGTGGAGTTCAAAACCCCTTATGGTCATAAGGAATACTGAAAATAGACACAGGGACTCGGCACAGTGTTGGGATAGTCTAGAAAAAACTTTATATACAGTATGTTTTTCTAGAATTACTTTTTTACACTATCCCAACACTGTGCCGAGTCCCTGTGGAAATACACTCTATAAAAAATAACATGATATGACACCATCAGGTTTTTTAAAGAGCATTTATTATACAAAACACAAGGCATTTATTACGGTGTGTGAAGATATTTATTTTATTTCATTTTTTATTATTTTGTTTCCGTTGTTTTTTATCTTTTATCTCTTAACCAATTTATATCTTTCATTTGATTAAATAACAAGGGGCGCCCGTGGCCGAGTGGTTAAAATCGTTTACTAGAAACCACTTGGCCCCTAACCAATGTAGGTTCAAATCACCGCCAGGCACTTTTGATTCATTCATCACGTGAGGAAGCACTTTAGTTTGCCTCTTGAACGTCGATGCTACTAAGGTGCCCGTTCGTGACTAAAATTATGCACGGAGGGGCACTTTAGGTCTTTATCTATCAGTAAAGTTTGAAAGTCGCCTCATGACCTTTACTGTGTTGGTGGACGTAGACCCCAACAACAAAATTTATAAGTATAAAAGTATTAACTTAAAGAGTATAAAAGCATGTTATTGCTTTTGATTTTTAGTCTAGTTTTTGTATGACTTTCGGTTTTACGGCGCACCAACACAGTACAAATGTATAGGTCATATTGAACCGAAAAAGTAAAGATGATTTTGGCAATTCTCGGGAGTTACAAACTTCAAAACAACACCAGGGGTCAAAATCACCTCACCTACTAGAGCTAAGAGATGCATAGACTCCAGTTCTTCAAACCCATTTAGTCACCTCTAATGATCACGCAGGGATAAACAGTGACTGCTATTCTTATGCCCCAACAATTTAAGGCGACCCCTCAGCCATAAAGGGCTTTTAGACTAGTAATACACTATTGAGGGCAAGGGACATTTATAGAAAGGTTATCTTGATCAAACAATTTATAGATCAATTGACACTTCCTGTCTCATATTTCATTTGCTTGATATGTTTTCTATGCCTATACTCTATAAGTGCTACAAATGTATCACGTTTTATAATAATTATTTGTGATATATCAATGCGCTATGTTTATTTCTTCCGGTTAAAGATCAGCAGCTTTGGGTAGAATGGGATGCAGATGAATATCAAAATATTTATATGTATGGGGCTCTAGGATATGAGGTGCTTATAGTGGATGAACCCAGAAAACTTAAACCAGGGGAGAAAATAGCAGTTGGTTGTAAAGTTGTACCTGGTACATATCTTTATTATAACATTTTATAATACTGCCAGTTACTTTTAATTGGATAATCTTGACGTGTATATAGTTTTTTTTATAATACTGCACGTTTGTAACGTCATTTTCATCGGATAATCTGGCGTTTATATAGTTTTATATACACGGCTACGGTCGATTCATGAATTCTCTAAAAATGATGCTTGCTGTATTATATTTAAAAATAGCCGTTTATATAGGGCCATATAACCTGTCAACGATCTTTATAACTAATATTAACAGTTATTGGCAAATATTGTTTTGCGTATTTTTGGGTTATACAAAGTCCAGAAATTATAGAACTTGACTTATTAGATATACTGTGAATTAAAAATGATTGGCAATGATTTCAATAAGAAGAAAATTAAAAAATATTTTGTTATATAATGCTATTTGGAACAAAATATTTACTTTTTGTTTGGAACAAACTATTTACTTTTTGTTTGGAACAAAATATTTACTTTTTGTTTGGAATAAAAATATTTAGTTATCTGTTTTATTGTTATAATATTTTAAGTTTAATGTTTAAAGGAAAGGACTGGAAAAACACTGATGGCAACGTAAATCTGGGCGTGGTTATTAAAGTAAAGAGACATAAAAAGAAGGCGAAGGTAAGACACAATAAGTTCGGTAGGAGCGGTTGTCTTGTGGCTAAGGTGTCTGCCTGTCAACCCAGGGATCATGGGCTCGAGCCCTATTTAGGGCACGACCGTGTTGCCTTATATGACACCAGTATTAGTTAGATCGAAAATTATTCAAATAAACTACAATCGTTATTCATAATCACGCTCAAATGAACAGAGTTTCCTATGTGTCGTATATTTTTATAAGGTTTATGTAAATTATTGAGAATAAGAAATAACTTTTTCATTAACTTTGTCTAATATATATGTACTGAAATCATACCCGAACCGCATTTTAATGGTAACCCAGTTTTGTTTTCAGTTTGGGCTTAAGGTCTTTTTGGTCGTTGCTTACTAAGCTTTAATTATCAAGGATTTAAATTTACATAATAAGCCGGTGTCTGTGGGCGTGAGAGATGTATCTTTGATGATTATACTCAATAAACTGAGTCTGTGAGGTGATGGTGGTGTTGGTAGTTTTCACTTTGGATCACGGCAGTAAGCCACATTGAATTTTCCAGAGCACGATTCAGCCACCGCATCGTTCCTTGGCAGACTGTCAAGCAGTTTACCAGTACTAGTTGCCTTCACTTTCGCAAGAAACTGAAACTTCTGTACATGCCAGAGCAGAGGTACAGTGCGAATGACCGTAGAAAAGATTTCATGATCAATCACAACGAAAGTGACCTGCGCCGTCTGGGAATCGAACCCGAGTCGCCCGATTCACAGTCCAGCGTTCTGCATATTAAGCTAACCGGAACTAACTTATCACTGAGTGTGTGATTACCAGCTATTTGTTTTTATTTTCATTGCTCCCGAAGGATCTTTTCCAGATTGTTTTACTTGATATCTTATAAATGTATACAAAACACTGAGACATGTAATAATTAACTTATTGCGTGGACGGTAGCTTGCAATTACCACTACTGTCCATGAACAGGCTCAATCAAACCGAGCCTACAACATTTTCAATTAAACTCTGTTTGGCTTTCTTCAGGGATTTTGTTTTTCGAGGAAGGCAAAATCAAACTAATTGATTAAATCATTCATCTGCGCATGACAAGAACTTAACGAAGGAAATAAATATCAAATCCTCATATCTTTTAAGAAAATCATAGATAGAAAGTAATGCATTTTCTAACAAATGTATATTATATATGCCTCTATGACATGTATGGGACAATTTTCTTTATGTTATTTATTAGGTACGATGGAATAATAGTAAACATGGCAGTTATATGTATATTATATATGGCTCTATGCAAGTGTGGGACATGTTCAATTTTCTTTATGTTATTTATTAGGTACGATGGAATAATGGTAAACGTGGCAGTTATATGTATATTATATAAGCCTCTATGACATGTATGGGACATGTTCAATTTTTCTTTATGTTATTTAATTGTAAACATTGCAGTTATATGTATATTATGTATGAGACAATTTTCTTTATGTTATTTATTAGGTACGATGGAATAATGGTATACGTGGCAGTTATATGTATGATGATATACAACAGATTCAAGTGAAGACAGTGGCTGATTCAAGGAAAGTTTGGTTCTTTTTTTGTTTGATTGATTGATTGATTGATTGATTGATTGATTGATTGGGTTTTAAGTCGCACCGACACGGTATAGTGCATATGGCGACTTTCCGGCTTTACTGGTGGAGGAAGACTTGCGATGCCCCTCCAATTATTATTTCAGGCACGAACGGCCACCTGAGTAGAGCCACCAACATTCGTATAGCAAGCTTTGTAGCTTCCTCAGAAAGTTTGGTTCAGTAATTTATAAAATCTGAAATTTGAATGAATTCGTTGCGGTTTTCAAACGCTCAGCGGCACCGAGTTTGTAAGTGTCAAACAAAGGGAGTTGACTTAGGTCGAGACTGAACATATTTTATTCGAGATTTATGTACCATTTGATGTAGGCTAGGACTCTAATTCTAACCGATTTAGTCACTTTGGGCTATGAATCGCAAAATTGAAAGAAAAATAAGTTACAAATGTAAATCATAATGTGTAGTTTTGTATTTATTTTGTTAAAATAGGTATGATAGATTAAGATGTGTATTTGATAATACAATAATAATCAACTTATTTATTTTCTTATTTTACAGAGGTGCCAGCAACCGCTTTAATGAGAGATCTTCAAAGCAAGAATTCGAATTTGAAACTCCGCCAGCCATGACGATAGAAGAGTTTGCGGCTAAACAAGAAAAGAAAAAGAACAAAAACTCGAATTAGATATTGATAACAGTAAAACATTGCATATCTAAAGAATAACAATGTGAAGTCAATGCTGATAGCGCTAATGCATTATATAGAATTCAGAATTATATCAGTTGACAATAGTTAAAAAGTTTCAACTTTTCCCGCGTTTTTCACAAATGATATAATAAATACATGTACAGTTGTATAAGTAATATTTCCAAAGTTAAAGTTTTAATGGTATGGTGTTAAAAAACGTTGGGCAGGCAAAAGGGAAAGTGAAAAAGACGCGTGGATGACTGCGTGCTAGTCTTAAAATAATATGTTTGGCGTATCGTTCACAATATCATGTCCCCTTGCCATGAAAATATTTACATCTCAAGTGTTCGTGAAGACATTTTCCAAAATAATTGACCATACATAGACAATATTTTTGGGAAGCAAGGACTGGTTTTTATTCATTTGACATAGGTATCATATTTATATATTTCCCGATGAAAAAAAGAAGGAGCAACAACGAAAAAAACTCACAAAAACTGTTTCGAAAGGATAAAGCCATCTATTGAAGATATTCAGATCAAACAACAATAATAAAAACAACAACTTTATTCGCTGATTTTAAAGTCTTTCGATGTCCTTGTAAAATTTTCTGACGACTCATCAGGAGTCAGATTTTATTGTGAGATTTAGCTTGAATCAGACTGTGAATTCAAATAATTTCGCGTTCATGAAATTTTGTAGCAATTTTAAAAATGGACATTTTCGCTTGTTCTTAAATTAGTGGTGTCTGTTAATGCAGAAGTAAAACGCAAAAAAGTAATGTAAAGAATTGTTAGTAGATGGAATTTAATTCTCTTGGATCCTAAATTCGTCGTTGATTGACCTATTCACCCCCTCCCTCCAAAAAAAAACAACAAAAAAAAAACAGCAACAACACGGGGGAGGAACTGTTACACGAAAGATGGGGTTCTAATGATAACTTGTTTGGAGGTTCTTATGATAACTGTCATTGAGTTCCTGGAAAACGTTACGATTTCTTTTGAAAACTTTTCTATACACTTGGAGAACTCATGTAAAAAATGATATTATTTACCTTTAAATGGGGAGTTTGAGGTGATAAAAAAAACGTGCATCACAAATAATAATCATTTTGCAATATCAAAGATTTGAATTTGATTTTCGAATAGGAATTTTTCAGTGTTATACTTTTTTACATTTATTTCATGCTTTCCAGTGTTTTACTCTGATAAACCATTTTTGAAATTTATAAAATATAATTTTCACTGTAGCCCCACTATATCTGTAAATGCGGATGAAAAGAATATCGTAATTGAATGGAATAACAAGCAAAAATGAATGCTGTCATGTGCGTAAATTTTGCTTCTTTAGGAAAAAAAAGTGGATGTCATCATACATCATGTTAAAAATGCAACAAAATTTGAGAAATTTAACATAACTTTATTTCAAAATTGATGATGTGACGTCATAAAGGAGAATGCACGACGTTGCGCAGCAAAATCTGTAAAAATACTTAAAATCAATAAAAAAAAAACGTAAAATAAAAAGAAAATTTATTTGTTTTACATATAAGATTAAAAAATATTTCATTCGCGAATATTATGTTTTCAAACTATATTGTATTTAAAAACCATATTGTATTTAAACAATGTTGTATTTTAAAATATATATTGTATTTCAAAACCTTATTTTATTGAAAAATTTCATATTTTAAAAATATATTGTATTTAAAAAAATATTGTATTTTGAAAATATATTGTATTTTAAAACCATATTGTTTCTAAAAATGTATATATAAATATTAAAAAAAATATATATTTCAAAACCATATTGTGTTTTAAAAGCCATATTGTATCTTAAAATATATCGTGTTTAAAAACCATAATTATAATGTGGATTAAAACACTACATGACAACGTTATGTGATACATGTATTTATTCATTGTGACGTCACGGATGAGGATGCAGTACATATAATAGTCTATTTTTAGACTTGAATACTATAGTTATAAAAGTATTGGAAAAGTATACTTTCGCATTACTCATTTTAAAATGATAACAATTTGAGTTGAATCTACATATGTAAATAACCACTCTGAACGACACAAGTATCTTATACATGTATATATGGACCTACTTTTTTAATGATGATAACTTTCGTTGAAGAACGACAGCATAGAAAAAGATGGTGAGCGTTCGTTTAAGGTCCGGTGAAAGGTAGGTTAAATATTTCTACTTCGTAAAATATTTAGTACATGTTTTAAGCAGTGTATCGGTAAGCGATACCAGCGATACATATCGTCATGACGCAGACGATACGTAAAATAAAGATCGGTTACATAAAATATCGTCTTCTTGCAAATGGTTGCTGAAACAAGTAGAGAAACTGATAGCGAACAGCATGGATCCTGATCAGACTGCGCAAACGCACTATGTTGATTTTGTCGTGACACGGCTCATATGTCTTTTTAAAGAATTTGAATTTTTCAATTACTGCAATTCCACAATAGGCTACACAAAATCGCTATGTTTGCCACATCCCCCGCCTCGGTATGTTCTGTGAGTCACAATGAACCAGTGAAGTACACATTATACATTTTACATGTACTCATTTTTATTTTATCTTCGCACAAATTAAAATAAATAATCAAAAATGCATTAAAATTCATAAAAACACCTTACTTTCGGTTTCTCAGCTGCATAGTTACTTCTTTGCTCTTGATTATTTCTGTCAAAGGTACCCTCTCTCTCATTTTGTTTTTAAAGCATCGACTGTATTACATAAGTATAGTCAATTTTCAATTTTTGTCATATTTTGTGTTGAAGAAACCTGGAAAAAATGATTATGTCCATTTTGTCCTATAAGCTACCACTACTTGTCCGTTTAATTCCCGTATTGAGCGCTTTAAGTTCCTATCATTTCACTGAAGACCTGTCCGTCACTAGTTTCGCCGCCTTTTTATGCTCTTGCCGTTTCGGTTCCTTCTTGGTTCCCTGTTGATATGCCAGGGGTTTGTCTGGGGCTGCGTTCTGTGAACGTTGCCTTGCCTCATTGATCATTGCGGGAAAAATATTAGAGCACCTTTAGGGTTATGTGACTTTTTTTTCTTTGCGTTCTTACTAAACTGGTGTCCGTCTATTTGGCGCTCACCGCTGATTGTTGCAATCTCGCCAGAGAGTAAGGATTTTATACTCCGGTTCCTGCAAAGTTGGGCACCAATCTTCCTGCACCAGTAAAAAAATCGTTGTATATCCTCATTGTGAAGTGAAGTTTTAACTATGTTTTAATATTTCATTTGGAGAAATAAACTTGCTATTTTATAAAAAAAACTAATTAGCAGGAAGTAAGTTCGAATTAGGTTATTTTATATTTAGGCTTTAGAAGTTCTTATTAGTGGGATTTTATTTTTCAATTCCTAATAATATTTAATTTCTAAAACTTCTTATTTAAAGTTGCAGAATTGTTATCAGTTGTGTTACTTCTAATTATGAGTAAAAATTCCTTATTATGGGAGGAAGAAAATAAAAGCTTTTTCAACATTTTAGGAAAATCAAACTCCTGATAATGCTTTTATAGCTCTTAATTAAAAGTGCCCAAAACCTTTTTAGGCTTTTATAAGCCCTAAACAGAAGTAAGAAAAGTTATAATTAGGCTATGTTACTAGATATATTCGACCATGCGACCACATACATGCATCGAAGACATGTTAGAAGGAAACGTGACCGTGCGACCACATACACGCATCACAGGATTCCCCTTCTCGTATGAGAAAGGGACAAAGAGTTGTCCGCCCTTTTATTAAAGGGCAGACTTACAAAATATGTCACTTCCTTATTAATAAGGAAGGACTTTTTTCACAGACATGTCTTAAATTGGTTTATATACAACAATAGTAATGCAAACCAAGCGGGGTATCAGTTTTCGTCCTTTTAAGCCCGCTATGAAATTTCTAAAAGATCTTATTTAATTTCTTTGGAAATTTTGACTTTAAAGTTTTTTCTTCTTTTCGTTTTATGTATATAACAGAATTTTTGTATTTTTGCAAGACATGAACGTTTCAAAAACGTATTATATGCGTTAGATATGGGAGATAATTCTATTTCACACTTTGTTTGCAAATATTAACCTGGGGGCATATGTATTTGCCAAAGTACTAAGTACGCATTTAATTTCTATATTCGGCTTTCCTTCTTGTAACAGCCTCGAAAATACATTTCTGCCTACCATGGCAGCATTTTCACTTCGGACGCCTGTACTATTCTCATGAAGACACCTTGGGTTGATGTTTTGCATACGTGACCTCAAGTGATTATTGCATCAATGAGGATTTGTAAAACTTGATTGTGACAAAATAATAATACATACAGTTGATACCTTTAATACCGAGGAAACCGCAAACAAACATGCTTGTGTAGGTGTTAGCCCGACACAATTTTTTTATTAAACACCTGACCTGAGATTAAACTTTGATTGAATCTTTCGATTATAAACTCCTCGGTGAATTAGATAAGTCTTAAGCTAGTGTTGTAGCTCGAACCTTTGACACCTGGGTTGTTGATAAACATTTACAAATGTATTATACCACCAAGAGGCTCTTTGGCATCAATTGTGGTCGTCAATGTAGGATACCGACTAAGATGACTTAAATTTCAACCAAATATTTGTACATCACTTATCATCCGGATAACAGCTATTTGTTACTAAGTTAGATTTGAAATGCTTTATTTTTCAGTGTGGTATTCCTAGCGATTGTGTGCTTCTTACAGATTGAAAATGTCTTTTCTTCACCAGGCTCGACTCTAAACATCAAGAATATTTTTATAGGAAGGTGCTTTGAATATGAGGAACTTACAAAAGGAACATTAATCGAACCAGTGTAGGTTATCAGTTCAATTATCATCACAATAATTATCGTTACATCATCATCATCATGACCAACATCATCACCATCATCATGATGATCATCATCATCATCACCACCACCACCACTACCACAATCATCATAATCATCATCATAATAATCATCAATAATAAATCATCATTATCATTATAATCATCATCGTCATTATCATCATAATAATCATTATCACGTCATAGATATAATGATCATCATTATAACCACCAACAACATCATCATCATAATCATCATCATGATAATCATTCTGATTATTATCATTATCATGCTAATCATCATAATAATCATCATTATCATTATACTCATCAATAATAATCGTCATTATCATTATAATCATCATCGTCGTCATAATCATCACAAAAATCATCGTCATCATCAACATTGACAGAACCAGTGTCATTGGGTCGTATGCCCACCATATTTTATTCTTATATAAGATATAAAAGTCATCAATATGTTTTTTATTGCTTACCTGTATTAAAAGTGTCCCTGAACGTTACAACATAATCATGGATACTACTGTTCTTGTATTCAGAAAAGTAAACTGCACACAATTATGGACACTATTTTCGAGAGCATGGACCTACAAAGATCCGCAGTCAATTGTTTTATCCGACTATGAGACATTTTTAGAGGCCGCCAAACAAACCAACCTTCCCGAAGATAAGGTGACAAAATGATTGATATTTTTCATTAATTTCTTTTTAATGTAATATATCTAACATAAAAGGTTATGTTATGTAATATATACTGTACAGTAAACTTAAAGACCTTGGAATATTCTCTGTGTCCCCTTGTTGCTGGGATTTGCCATAAAGGGTCGCTCGTTAAGGCATCATAATAAAAGCCGCCGTTTTTCCTGCATGATCGAAATGAGCGACTAAATGGGTTTGAATTACTGGAGTCTATGCATCTCTTAGCTACAGCAGGTGAGGTGGTTTTGAAGTTTGTTACACCCGAGGTTAGCCAAAATCATCTTTCTTGTTTCGTCGCCATATGACCTAAAATGTGTTGGCGCGCCGTGAAACCTAACAAAACAAAAAATATTTAACATGTTTTTTGTAACATGGGTTGGGGTGATTACGAGCACATTTTACTTGCCATTACTGTATCATGTATTGCAAGCTTAAACAGTTCAACTTGTTTATCATCTTTTTGCGATCACCGGAAGTAAATGGTACTCTATATTGGGATATTTGTATATCTTTGACCCAATGTTTTCTTTTGTATTTGATAATTTTAAAATAATTATATAATCTCTTATTAGGCGTATATTATTAAAAAAAACTAATTTAAGTTCGTAGCTTTCGGATTTTCGGCCTTCTTCATCGAACAAACACATTCAAACGAAGGAAGTGACGTCACGTTACAAGCTAATAAAGCGTTTTTGGTTATATTTCTTTCAGTTTTAGTGATAACTGTTATCAGATTGCGATTATTATGTACAATAGAATATCTTTAATTAAAGCCTTCAAAATCGATATTTATGACTAATGCATTTGAACAATTTTATTTATTTATCACGACATTCAGATATTGCTCTGGTCCGGTACCTATGGTATTGCTCATGAATATTCAAATCAAAGAAAGCGTTACGTCACACTAGAAGACTCGTTGATTGGTTATTTAGTGAATGGACTCACGTGGTGTGGGATGGTTTGTACGGAATGTGACGGGATAAATTATGAACAGTGTCCGGACGGTCCCGACTTGCCGAGAGAGGCACACCAAGCATTTTGGGGCGGTGCTTCAAGAACGGTATTTATTTTATCGTCTTTTCTGTACGAAATCTGCTGTGGTCATAGTATTATTTTTACAAAAGGTTTACCTCTTAGATTTGGTTTGCTATTTCTAATCAGGGTCATGCAACTACATAGTAAGTTAAAGAAGCAGACGCTTGTTTTGGTTGAGTCTATTATGTTTTGTTTCGGGGGTCTTGTCATACACAAATTTAAAATTTATATGCATTTACTTTTTTCCAATGATTGTTATTATCTTAAATGCTTCTGGGATTGTTGTTTTATCAATTCATTTGTAAATAAGATTGTTATATGTCTATTAACAGAATGATTTTAATGAACACGAAATTAGTTCACACCTTTATGTGTATTGATAACGTGTTGGTTTAAGCCAATGAAAACACATCAATATTATTACAATCAGGCAGAGAAAAAGTTTGCAAAGAGTAAATCGATAATCTTTATGTAGCAAACAAACTTTGAATTGCAAGTATTTTTTCATATCTTTTCGGCAGGATAAACTGTCCGAGGAGGGCCAGGCATTTTCGTATCGTAAAATGGCTGCCATTTACAGTATCAAGTGATTATCCCAAGCACCACCGCGACTTAGCGCGGGAATTATAAATATAGCTAACCTTGGCGCGTCGCATAGGATGGAAAATACCTTTTTTCATATTTTATTGTAATAAATATTTACAAACTGTGTCTTTTGGGGTTTTTTTTATCAATATATAACCAATAATGATGTTAATGTGAATAAATAATCATATCTCAAATCTGCGACTATGACTTACAATGAAATTCTACCTTTAGTGTATAAAAAAGGATTTTAATTTCCTGTAATTTCATTCTGTGATTATGCTTCAAGGCAGTCAATTGACCGTGAATTTTCTTTCCATATTTTTCTCATCTGAAGGCATGCAACTTTAATATGATGATACATTAATTACATTCCATGAAAATGTTTAAAGATATAAAATATCTCATGACATGTTTGTTCATTTAACATTACACCTATAATGCAGCAAGCATAAAAAGTCTTCACAAAAAGTAGTATGCAATCGTACCTATATTACATACGAATGTATGTAATATTTTTCTTGTTTATATCATAATTAAATGAACTGTACCAGAGACTTTTATTGCAGATATATGGTAAATTAAAGATCCATGACTGTACAAACGCTTTGATGAATGAAATTTTAAAAATAAATTATCATTCTATAGCTACATTTAGATGTAAACATAAATAAGGTTACAGTAGATGTAAGTATGTTAGCACATCTAAATCTAGAAAGAAAAAAAATGTTTTTGCTTCGAAAACAAAAATGCATTTCATTATACATTTTAATATATTATGTTTTTGGATGAACATGAATTTTATACTTGTATATGTACATTGAATCATGATTCATGACAGGTAGATAAATGAAATATTAAACAAGTTAATTTCCTTTTTAAAGTTTCTCTTTTGTATCGGTCAAGTATCAAAAAAAAACATTTTGAATAAAGATATCAAGAAAGACAACCATTTTGAATATAAGTTAATTTTCTGGGGCGATTTTTTCGTACTATAGATTCAATTAATTATGACTTGTTTTCTACAGTTCGCAAAATCAGCGTCCGGAGTGGTGAGATTAATCTTAACAGGGACAAATAAAGACCGCCCTGCGTACAACAGTGAAAGGTATGAACCTCCTTTTTATTAAATTCGTTATAATATGAAAATCATTTGAGCCGCGTCACGACAAAACCAACATAGTGCGTTTGCGACCAGCATGGATCTAGACCAGTCTGATCAGGATCCATGCTGCTATCAGTTGCTCTATACTTGTAATAAGGTTTGTAAGCGAACAGCATGGATCCTGATCAGACTGCGAGAAGGCGTGGCTCATTTATTGCATGGGGGTATGGTATGTTGTATCGCTGCAGATGATTGTGTTAGTTATAAATTGCGAATGTTAATATTTTCAGCGATAGCTTTACAATCACTTTTTTTACAGAGGTGTAAATCTTAACAAAACTGAAGGAATTATTTTTCTTTAAAATAAGCGTAGGAATAAATGACGTTAATACAGTTATGACGTAACGACTCGAGCAAAACAACGTTTGAAATATGGACCATCGACCTGGATATTTGTATATCATTTCCTTCAAATTAAAATGACCGTACCTTCAAAATTGTAGGTATATAATAAAACATTTTTATGCATCTATCGCCAAACATATTTTGTTTTATTGATAATAATTTTAATTTACCACGCTTAACATCATAAATGGACTTTGTTGCTATTTTCTTAAAGAGCTTGTTGTAATTTTTTTAAGAGCTTGTTGTTGTTAGTGTTGTTGTTTCTTTAATGTGCTTGTTGTTATTGTTGTTGTTTTCTTAAAGAGCTTGTTGTTGATATTGTTATTGTTGTTTTCTTAAAGAAAGAGCTTGTTGTTGATGTAGTAGTTGTTGTTGTTGTTGCTGCTGCTGTTTTCTTCAATTCCTTGTTGCTGTTGTTTTTTAAAGTGCTTCTTCATGTTGTTGCTGTTGTTGTTTTCTTAAATTACTTGTTGTTGTTTTCGTAAAGTGCTCGTTATTGTTGTTTTTGTGTTGTTAAAATGATAACGTCTAAAACTCTTGTTGCAGTTTCTTCGGCCAGTTTGAGCTGCCTTCGTTTGATACAGAGGTCAAGCTGCAGGTCATACTTGTGAACTTCCTAGACAAAATACCACTGTAAGTTCTCTTAAATTATGTAAGTTGTCGCTACTGGAAAGCCTTAAAGCAGCACGCCTCCAGATTCATGCTAATTTTCATGAAAATTTTGAAAAAATTTGAATGTGTAATATTGTGAAGTAACCAAAAGGAAACAATTTACACATTATTAATGGCACTTGCAAACCATGTATAAATTACCAAAAAGTGGTCAAAATATGCATAAATAGCCTTTACTGCGTTAGTAACGCAGTAGAAATATAGTTGTAATATTGAAAAAATCAGTCATTAATCGCACATAGTATGTAAAATATTACTTGAATTTTGAAACTTTTTACTTTTCCTGATACCTTAGGACAGTTTTCTCAAGTTTGATTTTATTGAGATATTTTGACTCATCTAGAGGCATGAAGCTTAAATTGTCCCAAGCAATATGTATTTCTTTATATATTATATATTAACAATATGCGTCTTTTATAATCTGCGTGGGCTATTGTTTATGATTGTTTGTATTATGTGAATTTTGTAATTATCTACATGAACAAACAGTCTGTTTTGTAAAACGGATATGAATGGCAGTGTATTAATTACTAATAATACTTCAATAGCTTTTGTTTCCTTAAAGTTGCAATTGTACTGTATACGTTATAAATAAGAAAAAAGATTTTAACTCATTTAATTTTTCCTTATATTGAGAAAAAGGATAAATAAACTACCACGTCATGATTCATATTCTTTTTCAAATAAAGATCAATTCTTTTCAAATTTCTTCCCTCCCCCATTTTATAAGTTTTCTTACTTTTTGAGATTATTTTTGTAAATACAAGTTGCTGCTTAAGCCGGTGCTAGGGGGCGAAGACGGTAGTTTGCAATTACCACCATTGTCCATGAACAGGCTCAATCAAACCAAGCCTGCAATATTTTGAATTATGACGAGTTAGGCTTTCTTTAGGGATTCTGTTTGTACAGTTATTTTACTATTTTATGTATTGTTTCAATCCGAAAACTTTTTGTATTCAAATGAATAGGGAACACTGTGACACGGGCTCTCTGGTGAAGCTTCGAGAGGACGTCGAAACGAGAGGACTATCTTACAGCTGTACCGAGAACCCATTGTAAGTCTAACATATTAAGCTAGATATAGTAAAATATTATTTCACACCTTATCAAATATAACCAATGCAATTTCAGCATTTGCTTCACGTGATTTTTAATAAGAAATCATAATTGGATCCAATCTTACCAATTTAGCCTCCTTTTTCATTTCCAGAGTCCAGAATGTCCATATCAAACCTATATCAAAACCTTTATAGGGTCTAATAGAATTCAGTATTGTACTAACCAATGTGTGAAATAACCTCATCAAACTAGTGTCATTCGTCTGAAGGGCAGCTGAGCTAAAATATTTACGAATGGAATATCATATCTATTCATGCAAGAACACATTTCGTCATATCCATTTTAATTGTTATATGATAACTTCTAACGTCGCGACTGGACTTTAGCAGATTTGTTCATCTTATTGATTTGTTTCGAGTTTTCATAGAATGTCAAAAAGAGGTAAGGTCCAGAAAACCCTTTATTGTACTGAAATGAACTTTTGGTACTCCTTTTTTATCTGATTTGTCTCATATTTTATCCGGTCGCTTGCAACAAGAACCAACATAATATCTGTTTCATAATACATGGTCTAAAGTTGCCATATTTATGTTATTATAGGGATCTACTTATATCTCGAAATTTAACGGATAAAATGCATTTGTTTCAGGGACATTTTACATTTGATGTGTGTCGGAGATCCGTCTGCTACAAAATGTGAACTAGGCAGACTTCTAGAAGCTGGAAAATCAAAATCTGATTTGTCTGATATTCTATCCGGTCGCTTGCAACAAAGAACCAAAATAACATCAGTTTCATAGTACATGATCCAAAGTTATATAGAAAAAAGTAACCTCAGAAGTATTATGTATGGTGCAGTATGGGTGTAATACTGCACATTTGTAACGTCAATTTATATTGGTTAATTTTGATGTTTATATGCTGCTGTCAATTAATAAAGAAATTTCATTTTTTCTAGTAGAAGAAGTTTGTTGTATTATAATTGTAAAAGATTCTTAACACGTTGTATGACCCAGGGTATATACAGAAGGAACAAATGGCTTAACTGGATGAAGCCCATGTGAATCGGTAATTTCGCGACCTTGACTCTTGGGTAATTGCGTTATCGCCATGTGCTTAATATTGCCCCCAACAAAATCGGACTAATAGCATGCACAGAGTGGTTCTTTTGTTGTTTGAACTGAAACTTCTGTACATACCACAGCAGATGTACAGTATAAAATATTTCATGGTCAAGCACAACGAAAGTGACCTGCACCGTCCGGGAATCGAACCCGGGTCGCCCGATTCACAGTCCAACGCACTACCTATTAAGCTTACCGGACGGCTGTGGTCCTTTTTGTGTGTAGTGTGTGTAGCCTATGCTTAATTAGGGTCCATCCGCAATCACAAAAAGTCGTTGTATGTATTACAATAGTTGGATACCACAGCATCACGCACCTGCAAAATATACCCAATCGGACTGTAATCCCGTCGAATTGAAGATAAAATGTGTTTTTATTCTAAAACATCATTAGAATATATATATATAAAAAAATGATTATTGATATACATGTACTAGTAATTGTTAAAAACGTTTAAATTTAAGCCTGAAAACGGGATAAATTTTGTTTGGAAGTCCAAGCGGGAGCATTTAGGAAATTATTTTTACCAGTTTTTAGTTCGATTGTATTGGACGCATAGAAACACTCTCGATTCACCCAGTACTGAGCAATTAGTAGACGTTTTTTGCTCAAGGAAACAATGGGTACGTTCGGAGTAAATCCATTGGTAATCATTGGTAGGTTTTCTAACCATTTGCATACAAATGGTACCTGTGTTAAACATCAAAATTTGCCATTGGCATATAAATTTGCAGGAGACTAGTGCTTTGTAGGTGATTGGCAAGTCTTACTTATGATGTCATTCAAAATGGCGAACCTGGTCTTATTATCATTGTTGTATGAAAAATTAATTGATCATATTGGGTTTTATAGAATTGCACATCTACAAAAGTGTAAAGGTTTATAAATAAAACAAATTGTTTCAAGATAACATTTATTAATAAAAATACCAGTATAAGTTACAATTAAAGCTGGATCAAGCTAAAAGATCAGTCGGTGTTCACCTTTGGTATCAATGTTTTTATCCCAATTGCACAAATAGTATGATAAAATCCGTTCAGAGTAACTTGTCAACCAGTGGTACAAATAATGATTAAGGTAATTAATGATATTTTAGTATTGATAACACTGGGAATACTTTGAATGCACCCACAGACTTGCCCCTGATGGGGTTTAAACCCACGCCGCTGGAGATCTTTAGATAGCTAGCTCGACGCGTCAACCACTAAGCCATGCCACCAAACTTATACTAACTAATATACCAGTTAAAACATCAACTTTGTTTAATTTTAGTAAATCAAACGGCCACACATCATAGTTTTAGGGTCATTAAATGTTCAGAAATCAATGTTAAAAACCACACGAACGTAAATGTTAAAATAACAAATCAAAATTAGGTTTCAACCTAAAAATGTGGTTATGTTTCGTTATTCAACAGCGATTGTGATATTTAAATGTTTTTGTTCTTTTTCTTATTTTTGTTCTTGTTTTGTTTGATTTCAAACTCTTCGATGGTCATAGCTCGAGGCATCTCCCATTCCTCGGACGTGGAAAGTTTCCTCGGCGGTCTTATAGCTCGAGGCATCTCCCATTCCTCGGACGAGGGAAGTTTCCTCGGAGGTCTTATAGCTCGAGGCATCTCCCATTCCTCGGACGAGGGAAGTTGCCTCGGAGGTCTTATAGCTCGAGGCATCTCCCATTCATCGGACGAGTGAAGTTTGCAAGGTGGTCTTTGTTCGTTGTCACTTCTGCAATGTATGAAAATCATACTTAATCATAATTTTGTTACAAGTCATATTGAATAAGGAATCAACTGGCTGGTGTTGCAAAATGATTGATTAATCAGACAAAATAAATCATTATCACAATTAATACCTTTAATTGAATTGTCCCTCTTTCAATCTGAACAAAACATTTCATCATTTTTAAAAAGAAAATCAAAATATTTACTGACTGAATAGCAAACAATACAGACCATTGGCAAACTATTCATTAAGAAATTTTGAGAATGACTTTTAGTCGTTGAAATAAGTTCACATTTAAATTTATATTTGTATACAACTGACTCTGACCAGGGTATTTGATTTATAGAATTTATCTAAAAATGATCTAACATGTGCTACCATATGATGTTATGAGATTTTTATGCATTGTGCAGTGCAATTCCGAAATCTGATGGACGAGTTCACAACTGTTAAACCTTTATTGGACGATGTGCTCGCCGTATCTGTGGTTGCTGTTTTGTGCCAAGTTCGTGGGGCGCTGGGCGAAGTATTTGCGTGTTTTCGCCGAGCGAAAATACCACATGGCATAAACAAGCCAGCATATATAGGTTTTACAGCTGCACCTGCTAGCGTTACGCGTTATTACTCGTGACTGTGTAATATCTTACTTTATTTTACATTAAAAACAAGCAGCGTTAAGTGATATAAGTTCGTTCCTTTTCTATATTTTTCAATTACAAGTGATCCCTCGGAAGCTTTAATCACAACAAAATTACATGAAAATTGCAGACTCGGTTCCATTGATGAGGGATAATGAATGAGTGCAACATCCCTCAAGCCCACTAGAACCGGCTTGAGTGGTACTCAATTCTCAGACATATTCAGTAACATAGAGTAACATAATTTAAAGAAACTGCGCTCTTGAATTCAATAACTGATTGAAAGTAACTTTCCTTGTCAGAGCATTTGTTTTTAGCCGAACTTCCTGCTTTCCATCTGTACCGTAAGAATAAATTCCTCTTCTACCATTATTCCATCGAACCTGTAACGAAAATATTTACATAAACTATTTTTTAAGATATTTTAACCTATCGTTATACTGAGTGTCATCAACTATACGTTATGTATTCTTTTCTTTGACCTTTAAAGGGGACTCCACAGAGTTGTTTTAGTTTGTTTTGCAGTTGTTGCTGTTGTTGGTTTTTGTTGTTGTTTTCGATTTCACAATCTATTACGGAGTATATTTCTTAATTATCTATTGCATATCTTTCTGTTTAAGTTTCCTATCTGACTTATGTAGAAAATTATTTTTAATGTTTCGATGCTTTGGTAGTTGTTATTTCTTTTAATCTTTTTTTTTCTTTGAACCTCAGTGGAGTTCCTTTAAACATATTAAAAACAGGATGAACAGGATTTACATGAATAGACAAACAAACAATTTTCCTAGTTTCATTTTGTAAGCAGAAGAAAAATGTACATTTTACCTACCAACACAGAGTTTGCTCGTTTGTCTAATTTTATAACAACACCATTATCTACATTGCCCTCAGAATTTTTCCAATCTTTACCTGAAAATAATGAATTTTGCAAATACTTTCATTGATTTCTAAACAAACTAAAACAACACATCAAGAGCGTCCAGTGATCACGTGTGTCGCCTTATGAAAGCCAATTGCCGCTACGTTGTAGAAGAAGGCACAACTGTTATTTACATATTTTTTTCATTATTCAAGGGCCATAACTCAGTTAAATTCCTTTAACCGGGAAGCCCGATTTATATGGCAGGCGACACAATAGAATGTCATTATAGAAATTATATGTTTTTTTGTTGTTGGTGGTTTTTTGTCATTGTGTATTTTTATTTAATTTTCAAAATTATTACTTCATCAATAACTTTAAACCAAAATGAAGATTTCGCTACAAACCTGGAACAACTTGACATCCAACAGCAATTACTTCCCCTGGTTTTAGGATCCTCGGCTCGTCAACAACTAGTACGCTGTATGCCCTTGGACCGTAATGGTATGTTTTTTTTAATCCATTATTATCCCATTCACACCATACATGGTTGTCTTTGTGAAAAATTAATTTGTTTCATTATAAAGAGTGTAAGTTTAATACTGTATTTACTGAACCAGTTGAATAAAATTATATTATGGGAGCCTCTTGCAAGCATAATATTAATGTTTTTTGAACGAGTTTAATAAATTTAGTAATGAACTTACACGAATTTATTATTCTATTTATCACATACCCAAAATAAAGACCGTTTGAAGTGTTTTAGAAACATTTTCATTGACGCGCCTATAGTATAACGTTAACATTTAGCGCGTCTAAACGCTATCTTTATATGACGAAAATGACGTCACGTCAAAATATATGCACGGCTGTGCAATACCATTTTTACGGAGTCGCAAAATCGGCAAGGGTATGTGATAAAAACGTTATTTGAACCAATATTTTTCAGAAATTTAATTGTTTATAAATTGTAAAAAAAATAAATGTTATCAGAGGATTTAAAAGGCCCATTATGCCTCAGAAATGCTATCATTTTTACTTCCCTTAAAACCTTTTTATATTTTGTATCTTGTAACAGTTTCCAAAAATACTTATGTGGCCTATAGATGAAATATATTTGTTTCTTTTGCTTTGTTGGCAATTGGTACAATTTTAGTGAATTAGCAATTTGTGTCTAAGACAAAGTACTTCTTTCTTTACATTTTGCTACATTTACGATATATTACTGCATGTTAACAGCATAAAGTGCCGTTAAAAGCTTTAAATATATAATAGTATAAACATATAATAATATCAGTTTAAACGTGAAATTAAATACAAAACTTAACAATATTACTTAATCAATATCAAGAGTTGTCGGTGGGACAGCATGTTCGACTTTTCTCACTGCTTGATAGTTACACAAGAGCCTGGATAATGAAGAATGCGTTTAGTCCAAAAAGGGCCATAGTTCTGTAATAGTGCATTACAGACTTATGGGTCTTGGATAAAGACCTTTTATTATGCTGCTAAATATATATGTGAAGGTTCAACCCATTCTCTTTATTATCTTTTGAGGTACCATCTTGCATGCAAAATTTTACCCAAATGTGACACCGACGAGCGGGTGAGTACAATACTGTACCTATTCCCCCGAATAGTCGAACTAAAATTATCAATTTAACAGCACGTAACGAAACAATCAGATAAAATATTTTTAACAAAACTAATGTCACGTTAAGCAAAGAATTACCATCACCGTCGTGGCCTATCACTGTCCCAGGACCATTGCCATCTTGGTTATTGTATTTCCAATTGGGACCACGTCGCACGCGGCAACCAATTTCCGGTAATGTAGTGCTAGTTTTCTCCTCGTACATGTGTATGCAGTCAACAATTTCAGCACGTTCTTCTATGTGACGTTTTAATCTTTCCTGTATATTCCTCATATCCTCCTGCAAAGTTGTGTAAACATTATTGTATCATAGTTTGGGGGCATTTCTGTTGAAATTGTGTCAGAGTTAAATCGTATACATATACATGCACAGTGCGTTAACTGGAGTGCAGATATTAGTTACCCGCACTCCAGAGCATGCCTATTGATTGGCTCATTTTTGCTGGGGTTTACATATTGTGACGGCAGAGAAAGGGTTAGCGACAGAAAGATTATATTCAGATGTTCGTTCATTGGTTCCTTTTTGCCGGGGTTTCATATTGTGACAACAGGGAACGTGTTTTTATGTTTGATTATGATACAAAAGAGGAAGAACATCAAAACACTCGGCAATCTGATACGCCCCCTCGTACAAATCAGATAGCCTCGTGTTTCGATGCTCTTTCTATTACTTATAATAGATTTAACTCACTACAATGATGGTGCAGTGCCTCTAGACGCTCGCAGAAATCACGATCACAGGGTAGAAAAATATATGTTTATTATCTATCGAGTTTTTACATTTTTCATTCATTATCGTATAAAATCGGTGAGAAGAGATGAATAAGACTTAGATATAAAGAGCACTTCAGCGGGTGAATAGGGGACATTTATGATATTTTAGCATTTAATCATCCAAATGCATTGTCCGGTATATACCGTAATACGGTATCTAGTGCGGTGCTCCATCACATAGTCTCGCTCAATAATTTAATGTAATTACCCTTCAAATAGTTTATAATAATACTTTCCGGCTTAATATGTGTAGATAAAGTTTCTTACTTTCACTTCACAGATATCTTTAAGACATTTGGAGATTTAAAGGTCCATTATGTCCCAGAAATGCTGTTGCTGTAGCCATAATGGCTTATATTGTTATACGACTATATGGACAAAAGTTTACCTTAACTTAACGAGATATGTTTTATCTTTAAATGTTTGTACACAAATAAATGATTACATTTGTTATTAATATGTAATTATATCTTAAAATTTTGATTAGAGATTTTGTAACTGTTTCATATCAAAGGTGTTCGGCGCGTTGATTGGTCACTACCCCCGGGCCAAACCTCCCCCCTCTCACCCACTCTACAACCCTCCTACCTCTCAAAACCATGTAAACTGCAGTATTTTTCATTTTAAACATGTTTTAATATTTGGTATATGCTTTTAATTTAATTACCTTCATCTCCCACAAAAACTAAAAAAATGATATATTTATATTTAGTAAAGGTATGCAACTCGCCGCTCATTTTTCAGCACTCATCTTAATATGAATTCCATAACTCCAACATTTTTTCACCAATTTTCAATATCTTGGTACCAAATGGTAGGGAGTTGATTACTCTTAAAGGAATTTAAGCTGTCTTTACAATCCTTTCAAGTTTAAAGATGATATGTAATCTCGAAGTCGTCACAAGTGTAACTCGACAGAGACCTGACCGCTGGGTTTTTGTCAAAATTACCCGACTAAAAGGCAGTTAATTCGAAATGAATGAACATTTTTTTGTATTGCGCATATAAATATGATCAAATTATATTATTATTTGTAATAACTGTTCAATCAAAACATCATATAAAACTATAACGAACCGTTTTTCCGATTTGTTAAATTCTCCATCCAAAATGAAAGTACACATGTATAAACGGCTGTATTCGTATGGAGTATTTTCATTGGTTGTGTGAAAACCTTAGACCAATGAAAATACTCCGTACAAAAAAATCAAGAGGAAAGCACTCTGCAGAACAATTACTTGCATATAGATTTGGAATTTGACATATCGGAAAACGGTTTGTTATAGTTTTATATGATGTTTTGATTGAACAGTTATTACAAATAATAATATAATTTGATCATATTTATATGCGCAATACAAAAAAATGTTCATTCATTTCGAATTAACTGCCTTTTAGTCGGGAAATTTTAACAAAAAACCCAGCGGTCAGGTCTCCCTTCGAGTTACACTTGTGTAGTTGTGACGACTTCGAGATTACATATCATCT